ATTGGCTCATTTAAAGTTTCTTTAAATATCCCCATACATTTGATAAATATCTGGTTTTAACTGCACGGCAAATTCATAAGTGTCAAATTTCCACGTGTATGTTGTAAAGCTAAATTATCATGAGCTTTATTATTTGGGCCCGGTCATTGGCCACGCCCCCCGACCCACGCCGTCCTGTTCCCGCTACTGCGTCACATGTTTGCCTGAGGAGCGGAGGCAGCAGTATGGCGCCTTGTCTGGAGCTTCATATAATAAGGTAAGTTCCATGTTAAAATTATCATGTTTCTGACTATCTTTTTATGGAGGCATTATTTTTCCGTTTACACAAGAGTATCGATTCGTATACACAGTTCGCTTAACGTATGTTTATTTGTTTGGATATCACGGTATATACGACTGTTTATTGTCTTAACCAAACTAATTCAAATGGCCTCAGGAAAATCTGGAGGCCTTTGGAATTAGCATTATTTAGCTGCGGAGGTTGTTTTCTTTAAGTTTTTGGCTGTAGACTGCAAAATCTGGGAGTGGTTGTGCTGGCCCATTGGCTTGGTCACAGGTGTAAAATTCCAATCCTGGAGGGCCACTGTCCTGCAACATTTAGATGTGCTGCTGCAGCACCACACCTGAATACAATAATTAGGTAATTAGCCGGACTCTGGAGAACATATCTACGCAATGAGGAGGCAATTGAGCCATTTGATGCTGGTATTTTGCACATCTAAAAACTGCCAAAATGTTTTTNACCCGGATCTCCCTCTCCAGTGTGTTCACCATCGTACGGAGCCAGATTCGCCGCAGACGAGAGCAGCGCCAGCGGCCTCAGGACTCCAGGGTTGTTTGGGTCTGAGAGGGTTCACGTGAAGCTGGCGTCGCCTCAGATGAGAGCCGCCTCGTCTGCTTCCCATCCGATGGAGACTCTGCCTGCATGTTGACCGGAGGGTCCCCAAAGCGACATGTGTTGACAATGTCCCGTCAACACATGTCGCGACGGCAGAAAGGGAATGGAACGAGGGGACGCTCCTCCAAACCGGACCCAGCGGCTGCTGATTCAAGAACACTGCAAACATTAATAAAATTCTCAATATATATATACACATTTTACATTGTCCCAGGATAAATATCTGGGGATCCCCTATGTAAAAAAAATAAAAAATAAATATGTCACATACTCTTTCTTCCTGATCTTCTGTCACTCTGAACTCCAGGGATGAGCAGCGGGCACATCCACTAGAGGGTGCTTTAAGCTAAGATGTGCTATAAAGAACACCTTCCTGTTAATGAACTCTTAAGTGCTACGGCAAGCATAATATACAATAATGAAGAATGTTACAAATAAACATTTTCAACTTTTACCATCAAAACCGCTGATTTAATATTTCAAAAGGATGAAATGAGACAGAGACTAAAGTTTGCTGCAAATTCTAGTATTCTAGAGACTGAGTTTAACCAAACTAAAATAAATTCCACAATTTGAAAACAAGTGTTTAAAAAACAAACAAAGCCAAAAACAAGCGATGGCTCCAGGTTCCATCCTGTTTCACTGTGTCAAGCAGAAAGCGTCGGCTGAGAAACACTCGTTGCTCCCACTTGTTACTCCTGCCGGCCCTCCTGCCAGCTCTGTGTCCTGTGTGAGTTGTCTGGAGCAGGTGAGGGACGTGAGCAAAGGCTGCAGTCGTATGAAACACGTCCCACAGTAGGACAAAGGAATTGTTGAAATGAAAAAGAAAGAAAAGCGGAGGAAAAGAGATATGGAAGTGTCAGCCTGTGTAACACACAGAGTTCTTAGTTACCGTCTGTCAGTCACTATTGTGATGATGCCTCTGTAGTCTAGAGGCATACGTCCTGCGTCTCGGAGTCCAAGGTAGCTGGTTCGCTTCCCATCCAGTGCAACGCTATTTTTTTCAGGTGCTGCGGCATTCGACTCTAAACGAGAAGCTGAAGCAAAAAACAAAGTTCAAGAGAGGCTCCAATGCCTCATTCACGTACACTGCAAACATGAATAAAATTCTAAACTCTTGACTGACTTATTTCCAAACTCAGAGCATATCGACCCTCCAACCACCCAACTTACAAATATTAACCTGTATTCACCTCAAGTTATGTGGCACCACCAGCGACTTCTTTGCACTCGACCATCCTCACAAAAATTACAAATATTAAGGGGAAGTCATCAGCAAAGGTTGAAGACGCGAAGCTCAGCAAACCATGGATGGAAACTCAGCAACAAGCCTTGCTTCTGCACTGCAAGTTACACTCTGGATCTTGACCGACTCTTGGTTCCAAGTCTGTCTCAGCTATGACAACGGTCACGGACTGGTGCTGAGCCTGGAGATTCTAGGATGGGTTCGGACCCGGATCTCCCTCTCCAGTGTGTTCACCATCGTACGGAGCCAGATTCGCCGCAGACGAGAGCAGCGCCAGCGGCCTCAGGACTCCAGGGTTGTTTGGGTCTTAGAGAGTTCACGTGAAGCTGGCGTCGCCTCAGATGAGAGCCGCCTCGTCTGCCTCCCATCCGATGGAGCCTCTTCCTGCATGTTGACCGGAGGGTCCCCAAAGCGACATGTGTTGACGATGTCCCGTCAACACGTCGCGACGGCAGAAAGGGAACGGAACGAGGGGACGCTCCTCCAAACCGGACCCGGCGGCTGCTGATTCAAGAACACTGCAAACATTAACAAAATTCTCAATATATATACACATTTTACATTGTCCCAGGGTAAATGCCTGGGGATCCCCTATGAAAAAAATAAAAAATAAAATAAAAAATAAATATGTCACATACTCTTTCTTCCTGATCTTCTGTCACTCTGAACTCCAGGGATGAGCAGCAGGCACATCCACTAGAGGGCGCTTTAAGCTAAGATGTGCTATAAAGAACACCTTCCTGTTAATGAACTCTTAAGTGCTACGGCAAGCATCATATACAATAATGAAGAATGTTACAAATAAACATTTTCAACTTTTACCATCAAAACCGCTGATTTAATATTTCAAAAGGATGAAATGAGACAGAGACTAAAGTTTGCTGCAAATTCTGGTATTCTAGAGACTGAGTTTAACCAAACTAAAATAAATTCCACAATTTGAAAACAAGTGTTTAAAAAACAAACAAAGCCAAAAACAAGCGATGGTTCCAGGTTCCATCCTCTTTCACTGTGTCAAGCCGAAAGCGTCCGCTGAGAAACACTCCCGACCAGAGAAAGGAACAGCTATGTGGCCCTCGCAGGAAAAAGTTTGGGGACCCCTGATCTAAAGCTTGAACCCTAACTGTTGACTGACGTCATTAAATCCAGTCAGCATGGATGGATGCGCTAATTACACTGTTTCTCTGTGGCGATATAATAGTCTAAAAATACCCGTGCGTGGGTAATGCAGGATTTGTAATCCGTAGAAGCCTGTGTGTGTAGTAGTAGTGGCGACTGTTTGTCAAACTAAACATCCTGTAAAAGTTAAATCACTGAGCCACTGCACTGAGCTGATGTGTTCAACGCAGGCAAGAGAAGTTCAATGTCTGAAACTTGGACGTTTTTTGTTTGTTTGTTTTTTAACGGTTTATTGTTTCCAGTTTGGCAAGCAAATATAGATCAAACATTTCATTGTTTCCTGCTCTGGTAAATAACCATGGGCCCAACCCAGTGTATGCTGGTCCTGTACCAGTTCCTGTAGAAAATGGAGCCACAGTTCTTCATGTCTAACTTAGAAAAGCAAGTACAAAAACAAAGAAACAAAAAAAATTAAACAATTATTAACCTACAAGTAATCTCTGTAAATAAACCCCAAATATAAACTCAGAATACATTTTAACAAAAGTCAAAGTAAAAATACAGAATAAATAGCACCAGCACATTCTGTCACATTCAAAAAAATCCCAGAAATAGGTGCGTGTGTGTGTGGGGGGGTCTGCCATGTAATGAAATGCTATTTCTTCCTAGAATGACTGTTAAACTCAAGGGAATTATACAGATATGGTTAACAAATCTATATCAATTGTCTTTTGTGTTTTCATTTAGGCTCTATTATATATACTGTTAAGGGCCAAGCCCTGTCCACTGGGTCTGTCTAACTCAGTGGTCTCCAAAGTCAGTCCCTGAGGGCCGGCATCCTTCATGTTTTAGTTCTCTCCCTGGTTTAACGCACCTGCATCAAATGATGGGTCATTGGAAGGCCTAAGAAGAACACTGACATGCTGAGAAGGTTGTTACTACCACCGGGGAGAGAACTAAAACATGCAGGATGCCGGACTTCCAGGACCCTGTTTGGGCACCACTGCTCTAACTTCTGCTTCAGAGCTCCTGATTGGAAATGGTGGCAGCTCACCAGTGTCTCCAGAACTTGAGATCCAGCTTAAGATGCACGTTTGTCTCTCGCTCAAACTGCCCATTTTCTCTCTTTTTGTCGCCCTCTCCCCTTTGTCCCTCTCCTTGCCCTCTTTTCTTCAGCCAGTCATGATTTTTGTTAAATCTAATTTGAAGTTACCCCATGGACTGCTTCCCTTTATTTATGGTTCTAGAGTCAGACCATAACAATCTATATATCTGAATACGGATACCGCCCAGATCCATATTCAGTCACGAATGAACAGAACCTTGTTATGCTAACAAGCTCAGAATCCGAACCTCCTGAGACCAGCCCGTACCAGAACTCAAACTGTTGCGTATTATTTAAAGGCTAAATAAAAAACTTTCTGTGAACTTTGATCCAGTTTGTTCTACGGAACCAGAACTTTAAGCTCAGAACAGCGCAGCCCCTTGAAGGCATCAGGTACTACACTTCATTCAGAACCAGCCCAGAACCATCAGAGAACTGGTTGAAAATGGTTCTATTGGACCTCCACAACCTTAGAAAGAGAGTCCAAGTTCTGCTGACCGGCCCACAGTGGACTCGCCTCAGGATCGCTGGAGACCAGAACCAGAAGCAGAACCTTCCTCAGTCCATCCCTCATCCCAATCTCCTACTACAGAAGCCTGGAAGATCCAGAACATCAAACCAGTGAGACAAACTGGGATCTGATGGTTTTTTATTGGGAAATCACAACAACTGATCAATAACAACAGATACAATAATCAGGATAAATCTTGTTTCCATGACAACAGACTGTGTTTAAAGTTCCTAGCAACAGGTCGGTACGGGTCAGAAAGCAGAACCTCAGCAGGTCTTCAGTACTTTGGTCTCTTGACATCGACGCTGGAAAAACAACCGGATCATGTTTTACAGACGATAACCACCAAACTTTGTCAAACTAGTTTGACAAACTTCCTGCTTCCTCCTTCCTTACAGGAAGGAGGAAGCAGGAAGTGTAAAGCAGGAAGGAGAAAACAAAAAGTGGAAAACAGGAAGTTGAAAATGGGAATGCATCAACAAGTATCAGTAAACAAGAACCAAACAGGAAGCAGTAAACAGGAAGTAGTTACCCATCAGCCTCCATCTTCTTCCTCTTCTCGATGATCTGCATCAGAACAGAGAGTTTAGCTTCCAAAGCAGAGGGGAGGAGCTTCAGCCAGTCACTAGCCTTCATCAGACTCACCGCGCTGATCTTCTTCCATTGGCGGTCCAGCTCTGCCTTCTCATTGGTCTCCTTGAATCGACGTGTCTTCCTGCCTTCAGACATCTTGATGCCGTACTGGAAGGCGGCCCTGTGGGGACAAATGTCAGCGTCAGCAGCAGCCTGGCACCTGCCAGTCAGCGTTGAGGGAACAGCCGGCGTACTTGGGCAGTGCCTCCTTGTTGTTCATGTAATCAGAGTACTCCTCCTGGGTGTCGAAGTCCCAGCGGCCCAGCGGACCCTTCTTGTTCCCCTGGAACAGAACCACAGACATTCACCTCTGACCCCATGACGCCAGCAGCAAGGCATGCTGGGAGAACCACCTACCTGGTCCATCTTGCTATAGTCCACCTCCTCATCGCTGTCCACTGCCAGGTCGTCCATCCTGTGGAGACATACCTGATCAGAGGGGACAGCGGCTGGTCCTCAGGTCAGGACACACCTGGGTAAGCATGTGTGCGAGAGTGTCTGTGTGTGTGTGTGTCTCACGTTGCCGGGTAACACTCTGCGTAGGAGTTGGATCCTCCAAAGAAATCTCCCAGCTGCTCCTTACTGGAGTCCCTCCTCTGGGAACCAGTAAACACCAGTTAAGGCTGACAACTGGACTCATGGTACCGTTCAGAACCGGATCAAGGTCAGACAGGAAATAACAGTAAAGAAGGATATGGTTCCTGGTTCTGCCACTGGTTGGCTGCTGTTCCAAACTTCTCATTGATCATCTTGATCTGGTCTTTGATCGACCCAGGACCTGGAGGACGGGGAACAGACAGATGGACAGGTTACCCATCAGCTGGTCAGTCCGGGTCAGAGTGTGGGACACCTACCCGTGTCTACATCCATCAGTGGGTGTTCGTCTACGCGCGGTTTCTCAAAGTAGGCGTGTCTTCTGCTCTTGCTGTCCTCGTCTCGTACCCGGTGGCGCTCTTTGTCTTTGGGTTTAGACGTGGCAGGCGGGATGTAGTCCCCGATGTCGTCAAAGATGCTGAAAGAGGAGTGGAGGCGTTACTCGGACAGCCGGGCGTGGGGACAGAGACGGCGGAGGACAACCTACCTGAGATCAGCTTCAGGAGCTCGCTTGTCGTCCAGTTTACCTGAAACAGAGACACGTTAGGATGAGGACGAGTCCAGGGGACACAGGTTGCAAGTGAGTCCAACCTTTATCCTTCTTCTTCATCTTCTTGTGGCGTGTCCCCTGTCTCAGATAGGACAGGATCTGGGTCAGCTTGGAGATCACGATGTCGTTGGTGGTGAGAGTCGTCTGAGCCTGGGACAGCAAGAGGACAGCGTGAGGACACAGAGGGAGACAGAGGGACAGCAGTGTTTCCATGGGGACGTGTCTGACCTCCATGCTTGGGCAGTCGGCCTTGCTGCGGATCAGGGTGGTGGGGATGTCGGTGTCGGTGAACTCGTCGTCCAGGTCGACCACGTAAGCCATCCTGCCGGGCAGGAACAGCTCATTCCTCTCCTGGACGCCCGACCGGAACGCCACGCGGTAGATGTTCCTGCCTGGGGATGCCCAGGACAACGGCTTCAGGATGGACATGAGGCTTACGGTAGCTACTTTTAGCATGACGCTAACAACAGCTGCTTTTAGCATGAGGCTAAAGGCAACTACTGTGAACTACATGGTGCTAACAGCACCATTTGGGGAAAAAAACTCTTACAACTACAGAACGATTTCTCTCTGAATTTTCCCTGATTCCTGCAGCATGTCAGGCCTTCACAGCTACTGCTGATGTTAACAGTAAAGGAGCGGAGCTTCAGTTTGAGTAAAGAGGCCCCTCTACCCAGTTGGAGTAGAGGGGCGGAGCATTGGGTTTATTGTTTTACTTTGTTTCATGTTTCAGCCAATCAGAGCCAAGATCTGACCTGCTACGTCATCTGAGCCTCAGGAAGTCACAGCTACCAGGACAGAGTTAACGGACATGTGGACCTCACCAGCAGGAGGCGCCAATGCTGCATAAAACTGTTACCAACTGCCATTACACAAGACAAACAACCAATCACAGTCTCTGGAAGGTTTACAGGTCTACATCTAGCAACAAGGTCAACCACATAGCCACGGGTTTGACCCCCCCTAGCAACAGGGTTGACCACCTAGCAACGGTTTTGACTGCTCCCAGCAACTGGGTCGCCTAGCATCAGTTGGACTCCTGGGTTGAACTCTGAACATGTCCTTGGTACCGGGGACTCACCCAGTCGAGTCTTGAACTCGATCTTCTCCTCTGGCTCTACGTCCTTCCTGTTCAAACACAGAGCAGAGTGAATCAGAACCGGTTCTGACCCGCTCTAGCCGTGCAGGACTCGCTGGTCTTACTTGGTCTCCTTCTGGACCTTCTCCATCATATCCTCCTCCTCTTTCTCTTTGCTGGTGATCTCAGCTCTCACCTGGAAGACACACACATTCAGAGCCGACCCACCAGACCCTCCCTGACCCCTGACCCTTTAGATCCAGCCTGACCTTCTGCAGCAGAGCGAAGTCCAGACCTTTCACCAAGTGAGTGTGCTCCATGTCACCACCCAAGAACTTGGACTCCTGGATCAGCTGCCGGCGCTTCTCTGCTGCAGACTTGTCCCTGGATCACATGAGACGCCGGGTTTACATGTAGAGACCAGAACCAGAACCTGAACCTGGACCTGGATCAGGAGCAGCAGCAGTACTCACGCCTCGGCAGTGGGTCCGACGGCCCGGTAGTTGGCCGTGGTGCTGATGAGCTCGGTCTCCTCGTAGTCCTTGTTGACGCCGTCGCGGCGCTCTCGGGCTCGATCCCGGTACTTCTCAGCCAGCTCTCTCTCCCGCTCCATCTCCTGCTGCCGCAGCTTGGCGTAATAGCTGCAGGGGGACAGACAGGGGACACACAGGGGACAGCTGAGGATGGCTGAGGACAGATGGACCGACTCTGACCCGCCCGGAACGTGACCTCTGACCTCTTCTTCTTCCTCCTCCTGGCCGCGGGGTCCTCGTCCTCGTTGTAGTCCCTCGGCATTCTGGGAAATAAACACACGGCTCCTGTCAGCAGGGGTGCAGCAGAAACAGTCTACCTTTGACCTCTGCCTGGTTTCTGAGCCAACTCACTCATGATGTCTGGACTTAGTGGGTGGAGCCGAGGCAGGCGTAGCCCGAGGTGTCATCAGCAACTTCCTGAAGTCATCGTTGGTCAGTTTGGACCTGAGGACAGACACACAGAGTTCAGCAGGAGCAGTGACGATGTGTGTTGTAGTGTGTATGTGAGCAGCACTCACTGCGCGGCAGAGCGGTGGTCATCCACTTCGTGGCCCTCGGGGGCCAGAGGGTTGGAGTAGCTCTCAGCTGCAACACAGACAATATGTTAGGCAGCAGGCGGACAGCAGGGGGCGCTACACATTTACCTCCAAATAACGGGAAGCTGAAGCTGAGGAACAAACATGACCCCCAGTCCCAGGACAAACCTTTAACCTTTGACTGAGGCGTCTGCTAGCTCTACATAGCAGAAGACAGGTGAGGTCAGAATTTTCCCTCAGAAAAATGATGGAAAATGATCCATGACTTTCAAATGTTTTATCAGTGTATATTTTTGAGTAAATGTGAATACAAGTATTTGCCCCACATTTGAGGTTTTTATTTAAAAGAAAATGCAAGCCTTGTTTCTGCTGCCTGGTGTTGGTTTGTTACATAAAATGTGAGTAAAACCTAAATAAAATACATTGTGCTTGTAAAATGTGCAAAAAAATCATGTAGGGTAAATATTTGCACCATTATTTCTTGTAGCGGAGGCGCTCAGCTTATCAACCTCCATTACATTCTCTCATGTTTCACAAAGAGAAGGAAAATTTCCTGGAGTCTCCAGAAGGAACCCGGGCCGCCTCAGCCGGGTCCTGGGTGCCAGACCTAAAGCCAGACCGATGAGGAAACATCTGGACAACATCTGGAGGTTCCACATCATGATCAGAAATCCGGTTCATCTGGTCTGCACGGAACCAGCCACTGTAATCTGATTTTATCAGGTCTAATTTACTCTACAAATGATGAGAATTGTGCCGATAGTATCAACGAGTCCTCAGTTTTAATCTTCCAGATAAAGAGCTTAAAAGCAGCGAAGAGGAGAAACTGAACAGCAAAAATACTTCAAACCGGCGATAGAAGAGCCGAGTCTGGTGATGGTCTGAGCTAACAGTCTTTTTGAAATTAAAGGACACATTCTGAAACAACCAGAGATGTTTCTGGGATTATAGAGTTTAATTCATAATCATAACTGACATACTGCTATATTATATAGAGATTTGGTTTTAGCTAGATATCAGTCTTACAGGATGCTACGCTATCTAACCGACAGTTAGCATGCTAACAGACTCACTCTCAGGCATCTCTGCGGGCTTCTGGTCCTCTGCTCCGGGCTGACAGGAGATTTATCCCGGCTGTGGGACGGTATAAGTCTCAGTGTTTAATTGTTTCTCTGTCGGTTGAAGCTGTTTTTCTCTGCGACTGTTTGTTGTGTTTGTCTGAAGCTGTGTAGAGGCGCAATGGCGTCACTTCCTGCCGTTTCATTCAGACAGCGACCCCAAGAGGAGGATTAAAGCAGCGCATAATGGGGCACAGAAGCTAGAACTATGAAAATGATTAAACTAAATAAAATAATGAAAGAAAATAAAAGGCTAAGATCTGACACTGATTATGTAAAAATTTAATTTATTTTAAATTTCAGTTTAGGGCTTTCTTCTCGTCAGGCTGGGCAGGGTAACACCGCCCCCTGCAGGCTGGATAAGTCACTGCAGCCTCTTCTGATGAAGGTTCTCCAGGACCAGCTGGAGAGAACTGAAGCAGCAGCTTCAGTTCTCTCAATTATATAATAAACGACCTCTGACGTTCAGCTACAATAACCATAACATAAAGCAACTAAACAAAGAAAGTACATGTATTTTTTTGGCTCTTTTTATGTACATAATCTTTATGTATTATATGTTTTATTATGCTGAAAGCAAAGCAGAACCATATTCAGATCTTTTGTGTGGACAATGTGCCAAACAAACAAGCAAAAAATCTCCTAATTTTCCTGCTTAAAAACTGAGATGCAGGTTTAAATTGATCTATCTTGTTCTACCTTATGAATTTCTGGATGAGTTTTAGGATAAAATCTATAAAGTGTGGAGTGAAGCTGTCGGTCTCATTCACACAGATGGAGGTCAACTGTGAATCAGAGATTAAAATCTGACTTAGAGAAAACACAACATTTTTCCTTATTTGGGTGATTTATGAATAAACTTAGGATCTGAAAGAATTTTATTTCTGTAAAACAAACAATCTTAGAAAGTAGATGCTGTAAAATTATTTGCTTTTTATGTTTAAAATATTTTATGAAATCATAGAGTGAATCTGAGATGTTCTGGTTCTGACCCGTTCAACATGAGCCATCCAGACCACTCCTCCCAGTCCTCCCAGTAAACACGCAGCTGTGGAGTCAAGAGTCTTTATTCATATCAACACATTTACAGAGAAAATAGAGAAAGTAGAGCTGGCTCTGAGGGTGCGGGGCTTAATGTTTGGACTGGGCCAGAGTCTTAAGGGTGGCGGCCACCTGCTCAGCTGACATGTTGTCCACCGAGACGCTCCTCTCCTTCCCAAAATCTGAGCACAAACACATCAGGTCAGGTTGAGCTTAATGCAGCAGAGTGAGACCGCCGCAGATCCTCGCCTACTCACCATATCGGGCCCAGAGCCGGGCCTGGACTCCAGAACACTCTCGAATCAGAATGGGAAGGTCTGGGTTGGCCTTCTTCAGGCCCACATAGTTCTGCTCCACAAAGTCCCTGAAACACCAAACACAACCATCAAGGGGCGCCATGGCAACCAGGGGGTCTGTAGCCAGGTGATAACCAGGTAATAACCAGTAATGCAAGGTAAGGTCATTTTATTTAGCACATTTTCAGCAACAAGGTAGTTCAAAATACTTTACATGAAATAGAAGGAAATGCAAACAAAAATAACAAACCAAAGGAAAGAGCAAAAGAAGAAAACTAAATGTTCCTGTTCTGAATTCTAAGTTTGTTCTAATTCCTTTTCTGGGTTGCAAGATAATTATAAATACTCCATAATTTATCATTTATAAGCTAGAAGGAGTTTCCCTGGAAAAACTAATAGGAGTTTCTCTGCATAATAATCTAAAAAGTATAATACTGGTCTAAATAAAGAGTACTCCACAATTTCTAAAAGCAATAAACTAGACAAATAAACAGACGGGGCAAGAACCAACACATCAGGGAACGATAGTACAAGTAGTAACATAGAAGACATGGCCAGCAAAGGCAGTGACATCACAGAAATGTATCTGTAACATGAGATGTGTGTGCAGTTTGACCATGAATTTTGTGCAGCCTGCTCTCCTATGCAAAAACAGTTTATGATAAGGTGGTATTATCTCAGAGGGAGTCCTTAAGTGCTGCCATATGACTCCATGGTTGTCATTCAGAAGGGGGGGAGGAGATAGGAAAGAGAGGCTTGTTTAGATAAACTCCAGGAGATTTAAGATAGTCAGCCAGCCAAGGCCACAGGGAGCCAGATTCAGAATAAACTATTGTCTTTAGATTGGGCAAACTTAAAATTTCCATCCCCCCTAAAGTCTCAACTGGTACATCTCTTATTTTCAATCATCCAAATTAGCGTGGTCGTTCCCATCGGGCCGAAACTAGCAACTTCTCTAAGATGGATTCCATGCCGCTAGTGAGTTTTAGCATCTAAAGTTTGCCTGCGAAATAATCACATCCAATTTGTGTCTCTGTCCCACAGCATGTCAGTCTAAGTGTTCACTAGTTCAAATCAGTCCATCACAAATTTATCGATATACCAATATACGCCAACTCCAAATAACAGAAATCCTGTTATCATGCATCCAAATAAATCCAGGATGAATCCATTAGGGTGGGTCCTGCAGGACAAGTGGGCTCTCCTCTGCAGAGTATTCTAGATAAAGACCAGTTGATAACTACAGAATAACTAGATAACCAAGTAACCAGGTATTAATCAGATAATATCCAGGTAATAACTAGATAATAAAAAATTCACATGGTAATAACCATGTGAATTTCCCTCATGGGTTATTATTATCATTCATTCATTCTTAGGTAATAACCAAGTAAATACAAGACAATATCTACATAACCAGGTGAGATAATGATTTGATCTAGGTAATTATCACCTACAGGTGCTGGTTGAAAAATTTGATTGTCATGAAAAAGTTAAATCAGTAATTCCTTTCAAAAAGTGAAACTTGTATTTTATATTCATTCGTTACACACAACAGACTGATGTTGTGTGTAACAAATGTTACACACAACACAAAATGTTTTTTTTCTTTTAATGTTGATGATTAAAACTCATGACTAATGAAAGCTCCAAATTCAGTATCTCGGAAAATTTTAATATTACTTAAGACCAATATAAAAAAAAGCATTTTTAGAAATGTTGGCCCACTGAAAGTATCAACATGAAAAGCATAAGCATGTTCAGCACTCAGTACTTAGTTGGGGCTCCTTTTGCCCAGATTACTGCAGCAATAGAGTTGATCAGTCTGTGGCACTGCTCAGGTGTTATGGGAGCCCAGGTTGACCTGATGGTGACCTTCAGCTCTTCTGAATTGTTGGGTCTGGAGTAACACATCTTCCTCTTCACAATACACCACAGATTTTCTATGGAGTTAAGGTCAGGAGACTTTGCTGGCCAATGAAGAACAGGGGCACTGTGGTCCTTAGACCAGGTACTGGTAGCTTTGGCACTCTGTGCAGGTGCCAAGTCATGTTGGAAAATTAAATCTGCATAAAGTTGGTGAGCATCAGGAAGATCTCTAAAGCTTCCTGGTAGATGGCTGCATTGCCTTTGACCTCAGAAAACACAGTGGACCAACACCAGCAGATGACATGGCACCCAAACCATTACTGAGTGTGGAAACTTTGACTGGACCTCAAGCAATATGGATTCTGCCTCTCCTCTCTTCCTCCAGACTCTGGGACCGTGATTTCCAAAGGAAATGCAAAATTTACTTTAATCAGAGAACATAACCTTGGACCATTCAGCAGAAGTCCAGTCCTGTTTGTCCTCAGCCCAGGTGAGATGTTTCTGATGCCATCTCTGGTTCAGGTTTGACACCAGGAATGCAACAGCTGCAACCCATGTCTATCTGTGCCTGGTGGTTCTTGAAGCACCGACTCCAGCTTTCTGTCCACTCTTTGTGAATCTTAAATGGGTTTTGTTTCACAATCCTCTCTAGGGTGCTGTTATCCTGATTGTCCATTTTTTCTACCACATCGTTTCCTTCCCTATGAATGTGTTTGAACTCAGAGCTCAGTGCACAGCCAGCCTCTTTAGCAATGACCTTTGTGTCTTGCCCTCTTGTGCAAGGTGTCAAAGGCCATCTTTTAGACAACTGTCTGGTCAGATATGCAGGTGTTTAGAGTTAATTAGCTGATTAGAGTGTAGCATCAGGGGTCTTCAGTATTTAAACTTTCCGCAATAGTCTAATTTTCTGAGATACTGAATTTGGAGTTTTCATTAGTTGTGAGAAACAAAATATATAAATTTTACTTTTTGAAAAAAAATTACTGATTTAAATAAACTTTTTCATGATAATCTAATGTTTTGACCAGCACCTGGAGATAATAACCAGGTGATAACCAGATAGACTGATGGTCAGCGATTGCTTTGTTGGAGTCCTAGGAAACCAATTAACACCCAAACACACCACAAGGACAGAGACACCTGGTCCAGGTGAGCAGAGGACTGCAACCAGTCACAGGGTGTGACTCTGGAGCTGCAGTAGTTCTGAACTGGACCCGGTTCTCTTCAGCTCAGTGACCCAATCAGCAGAACCATTGACCCACTAACAGTTGGTCACTCTTCTGGGATTGACAGACCGGGACAGAACCTCCAATAAACTGGACCTCAGCGGAATCTGCTGTTCAGAGGACCCGGAAAGTTCTTGTTCAGTTCATCTCGTCTCTGGGCTGCAGGATGCGGTAGGTGGAGAACAACCCGGGTCAACACTGCGATTAATAATCAGAACGAGGGAGAAGGTACCGCCTGTGAGCCTCGGTGAGCATCAGTTAGCATGAGCTAGCTCTGGTCAGCAGCTGTTAGCCTTGGTATGAACCGGAGTACCTCCCCGGCCCCGGCCGCCCTGGCTCTCCACTCACCTGGCACCCTGGCTGGCTGCTGAGCTCTGGCAGAGGTGGAGGCGAATCTCTCTGAGGTTTTTAGCCAAATTGGAGCTCAGGCTTCTCGCTGCGGCGGCCGCCATCTTGGCTTCTTCTCGTCTGTCAAGGACGAGCTGTGAGTTGTTTCAGCCCCGGGTGAATCCTGACAGGCTCCACATATGTTCGTGTTTCTCCCTGGATTTGTCCTGACAGGATCAGGCTGCGCAAATAAACACACAACGTTTCACAGGAAGTCAAATTGCAACACTGTACAGCTATACCTGACATTAAACTGAAAATATTTAAGCTACTAAAGATAGCAAACTGAAAAGTTGGATCACAGATAAACTGGCCGCCAGAGGGCGCTCACCTGATAGTTCTTTATCACACAGTAAAAAGAAGCGTACAGCTGTTAAAATTGAGGATTTGTTATGATTAATGGGGGGAAAAAAGTGATGTCAATGACTATTTTATGATAATTAGAACATTCTGATTCTGTCTCTTTATCGTTTGAAAGCTTTATATCTAACAGAAACATATTCAGGTCATTATCCAGAAAAGTCATTTAGCAGATCAAAATACCAGAATCAGAGCTGAGAGAAAATATGGCTGATATCAAATCAGTGAAAAATACTGAAAGTAATAAAAATAAGATCTGAAATATGTGCTGAAGATAATCATGGTTTTATTTCTTCATCCAGAAAAAAACAGATCTGATCCATCTGAATCAGAACCGCGCTGACAGACCGGGCTCCGAACAGGCAAAGCTTTCAAAGACCACGTAACCGCCTAAGCTAATCAGTTAAACGTGTTGTTTAAAAGTCGCCCACCAGGGGGCGGGACCGGAAAACCAAATCAGAACCGCCTCATTATGCAGGGCCAGGCTAATTCCTGGGCATGGTTCTGGTCTGGAAACAGAACCAGAACTAGAACATGTAGCTCCTGGAGGAGCAGGATCTACTCAGGGACCAGGGAACATGCAGATCCTGCTCCTCCAGGATCTGCATGTTCCCTGATCCCTGGTCCTCCTGCCCTGCTTGCTTTAGCCCTTCCCTGCTTCCTGTCTCAGTTGGTGGCTGATTCACTGACTGGCATCAGGTGGTTCTGGAAGCAGGGAGCGGTTCTGGATCAGCGCTTTCCAGAACCTGCATGTTTGGCTGCCGGAGAACCCGCCCAGGAAACACTGACCATGGCAACACCAGGACCTGAGATGGGACAAGAACCTGGTGATTTGGGTTAAAGTCAGCACCTGCTCCAAGGCCAGAGGCCAGAGGTCAGAGCCAAGGGCGTAGGTCCCATCTCATTATTGGAGGGGACCATAAACAGGGTAATTTTTCAAGAGCAATTTTGGGGGGGCCAGCAAAGTTACAGTAAAATGTCGTTCAAATTTTTTGTTCAAGCTGCACCATCAAAAATGACTAGTAAGTAGCAATGAATAACAAAAGTGTTTTTCTCAGTAAACAGCCTGCTGAGATCCATAGAAGTACAACTAAGATTCAAATGATGTTTAGATATGAGTTTGGTTCAGTATCACAGATCTAATCTCTGCTACACCTTTACAAAAACTTAAGGCTCTAAATAAAAACAAGTTGTAATAAGTAACTCCACTTAATAAAATTCCTCATAAATATTGATTTATTGCAGTGGTTCTCAATACAAGTCATGTGTTATTTAAATTATAACTTGAGTGGCTTTAAACTTTTATTTATTTATTCTTTTTTTCATGTTATGACCTCTAAATATGTAGGAAATGAATATTTGGGAAGTATAGCAAACTTAAAGGTCAGCACCAAAGTTTTCTAGAAAAATATTCAGATTTTATTTTGTGGTATTAAAGGCTCTACGTTGAAGGCATACTTTATTTTATTTTTTTTACTGTCAGCTGCAATAGTTCCCCTGCTCTAGTGCTAACGCTCAGTCCCTCCCTCCTGTTTCAAATTCTTCTTATTAAAGTAAGAGTTAAGAGCTAAATATAATTGAAATATTGGCTACCTTCGACAGAAAAAGGAGCTAAGTCTATGAAAGCAATGTATCAGTTTAGCTAGCTTTGATTTCCAAGGCTTAAGGTGGCAGTTTTGTCATCATTCAAAGTAATGAAATAACGAACTGTGGACTGATTGTTTTATTGTCAATGTGTTTCTTCCTATTGAGCAGCGGTTTTTGCTTTCAGTATTTATTTACCCAAGGGTATTTTTTGATAGTGCTGAAGAGCCACAGCTAACAGCTAGCTCCTCACTTCATTCAGCAGCGCAAATGTTGCTCTTCCTTCACTTTGGACTGAACCATTGTTCTAATAATGGTGGGGGAGGGGTGAGGACCTAAAAATTAATTCTTATTTTTTTCTTAGCTGAATTGTAGATTTACTTTGTTCTTTGTTTCTATTGCCTTTTTATATGGATATTGTTTAAATACAAGGTTTTTTTTATGATTTCTTTGGGGGGGACAATTCTAGACTTTTCCAAGATTGGGGGGTCCGGACCCCACCCCCCCTCGGGATTTACGCCTCTGGTCAGAGCATGAAGCTAAGAGAGATGACCAAACATCCCGCAGGTTAAAAGTCATAACCATGAACCAGTCTGGCAGCTAGGAAGGATTGAAGGAGAAAAACTCTTCTCTAGAAACAAGATGGCTGCCAGACTGAGACAGGACTCCAACCGCCGTCCACACCAAGTTCTGATACAGAACCGCCGGTTCTGGTTGGTTCTGGCCGGTTTTGGTGGGCTCAGCGGCCCCTAAAGGGTTCTGGTTGGCCCATAAACCTTGGCGGACTCCGGGACACTCAGACGGACTGATGGGATCCAGATGTTGATGAGTCATGATGACATCAGTAGCTGGAAGAGACTTTGCTTTATTAAGACAGGATTAGTTGGTACAGACAGCATGAGTATAGAACCCAACAGAACCAGAGCGTTCTGTGCCCCGGTTCTGGTTGTTCATGCCTGATAGAGTAACTTTGCTTTAAGCTCAGAGAAACAAAGATGGAGGAGTTTCTGTCAGTTTCTGTTTCTCATTGACTGATATTAAGCCCAATAGAACCGGGTCAGTCCCTCCGCTTTGCCATGGTCCGGTTCTGCCGGACTAGGAGGTTCCGCCTCGCCCTGGTCCGGTCTTCCAGCCTCTGAAGGTTCTGCAGCTGTCTCTCCTTCAGAAGCTGCTGGATGCGCTGGTTCTGAGTACGTTCGTGGAAAGGCAGCATGCGGGAAACGAAGAGGTTCTGCTGGTCTCTGGTGGTATCATCTGCTCCAACCACCCGGTACTGGACCTCATCCACCGAGTTCTTCTCCCTGGAGGCCGGCACCAGCGCCCCTGTTGCTGGGGCAGTATGTTCGGAGGTTCTGATTGGTGGCGCTGTCTGGTTCTGATCAACCGTAACCACGGAGACCGGGGCAGTTTTCCTGCTCAGCAGATGCACTGGAGTGGTTTCTATTGGCCGCGCTGTTATAGTCCCAGCTGTGGAGGCAACCGTGGTAACCATGGTAACCGCAGTAATTGCGGTAGCTGTGGTGGCTGGAGCAACAGGCGTGTCAACGTACGTTTGAAACTCGTAGTCGTAGTCCACATAGAGAAAGTCGGTGCTGCTCCTGCTTGTAGTGGTTGGTGTGCTGGTGACATCACTGATGACATCACCAACTGATGAGGTAGACGAGGTCACCGACATCATTTCAGTTAACTCCCAGGAACTAAAAGACAAAGGCACAAATTTCACATCAAAATAGGAATGAGCTCTGAAACATTGGCTTCTCTACTCCATGTTGGTGCAAGACGTTTGTTAGCAGTAGCTTGGTATTAGCTGTTTGCTATTAGCCATTTGGTATAGCTGTTTGGTATTAGCCATTTGGTATAGCTGTTTGGTATTAGCCGTTTGGTATTAGCTGTTTGATATAGACCGCTGGCTATAAGCTGTTTGGTATAGACCGTTTACTATTATCCATTTGCTATTATCCATTTGCTATTATCCATTTGGTATAGACCACTTGCTATGAGCCATTTGGTATTAGCCTTTTGCTATTAGCTGTTTGCAATTAGCCAAAGGGATAATACCAAACAGTTGTAGTAGTTGCTCTTTGGTATGGATTGTTTGGTACGATCTTCTGAGTTTGGTCCAATAAATCCTTTGAACGTCTGAAGAAGAAAAATGTGAAGAAAACAAAATAAATAAAAGTTTGCAGCTAAAATGTTGATTCAGCTCTATGCAGATATTTCATGCAATTATAAAGCAGACAGGTGATTCATAACAATCAGAACATTCTGGCTCGCTTTGACTAATTTTGAACAAGTTTGATCTGATTAGACCTGGTCTGACCCGGTCTCAGTGGGTTTTACATCGGTGTATATTTTATGTCTTAAAACTCTTTTGACTACTTTACTGACCTGCTGTTGTTCACTGGGGAGTCAGTGGGATTCTGGCTGCTGGAGTTGGTGAAGTTGCTGGAATTGATGAAGTTGCTGGAGTTGGTGAAGTTGCTGGAATTGATGAAGTTGCTGGACTTGGTGAAGTTGCTGGAGTTGGTGAAGTTACTGAACCCATCAGAGTTGCTAGTGTTCCTCTCACTGCAGAACTTGCAGCACATCTGCCTGTATCCAGGGATCGAACAGTACCGACTAAGCGCCTCCATCCGGCAGAAGACGGAGCGGTCGCCACGGCAACGCTGCCCTGCAGGCACAGAGGGATCAGGAAAGTTCTGGGAGATCTAAGCCAGTGTTTTTCAACCACTGTGCCGCGGCACACTAGTGTACCGTGAGTGATAGTCGGGTGTGCCGTGGAAATTATCCAATTTCACCTACCGTATTTTCCGGACTATAAGCTGCTACTTCTTTCCTACACTTCGAACATGTGGCTTTTCTGTGGATTTTTCTTCAACCACCAGGGGGCTCTTTAGCAGGAAGTGAATCATTGGAAGTCAAAGAAGAACGAGCTAATTTTCATTTAGAACAAGCACATGCTAGCAGCAGGCACGATGGAAAAATGTTTTCAAACTCATATGATGCAGCTTCTAAGTTGAGGAGTATCGATCTGGCAGTCCCGGAGGGAAATAAAGCCGCTGCACGTAAACTCGATGTGAACAAAACCGGATTTGGAGACGAAGGTCTCCAAAACTGCTGGATATACAAATGCTTTATATATCCAGCAGTTATTAGGACGCAGCCCTCTGTTGGGTCCTTATGGAAAACCGAGAGCGGCAGAGATACCAGCGGCCTGTTGCCCGGTGCGGCTGATATATGCAAGTTTCCCGGGGGGTTCAAAAAATTTGAAGGTACGGTTTATAGTATGGTGCGCTCATAGTCCGGAAAATACAGTAATTGGTCTTAAAAGATTTTTTGAAAACGAATTAATTACCTGCAAATAATGCCATCTATGAGTGTCTTTGCTGTACTAGTGACTAATCATGTAATTTTATTATCACTAGATGGCAGTAGGTACAGAGCATTTTACATTAAAACAAGAGAATTAATGAATGTAGTAACATTCATGCATCACACACGACAGTGTTGTGGCACTGTTCAGGTGTATTTTTGAAGTGGACATGTTATGTGCAATTTGAAATAAGGAATGTAAAATATGATAAAAATAAATTTTTGTGTTTATTTGATTCCTATTCAAGACACTTCGATAAGAATGACTATATATGTAATAGGCGGCTATAGAGTATCTTTGTTTAAATTTTTGGTTGGTGGTGTGCCTCGTGATTTTTTCAATTAAAACAATGTACCTTGGCTCAAAAAGGGTTGAAAAACACTGATATAAGCGGTCCAAGAAGTTCTACAGAACCCTCAAAGATTGGGCAATGCTAGTGCCAGCCTGACCCGGTGGGACAGATACCAACAATAATCGGTTCTGGTCAGAGAGTTGACCCTTCCACTACAGAGGCAACGCTCCAAAGGTCCAGTTGGACGTGGCTGATGGTTCTGACTGGTTTAGTTGTTAGCATAAAGAGGACAAACGAGGAGATGTTGGTCTACCGGGTCAGAACATGGAGACGGATCAGCGGGTTCTTACTGGGAGATGTCTGTGGAGCCGGGAAGCTGGGATTGGACCTGGACAACCAGAGGATGATGGCGTGCTTCGAATCTCCTGGGAAGGAAACACACCGTCAACAGTTGATTGGCTGCAGCAGAGAGACCTGCTGATTGGTCAAGGCCTACCGTTGCAGGGCGGGGCCTGACAAGGGCGCGCTGCTATTGGCTGAAGATCACTGCAGTTTCCAGTTGAGCCTTCAGGATTCAAACAAGCAACCTGACGGTCCTGAGTCCCGTTTCCACAGGAGACCGAACACTGTGAACACATTCGTGAAGGTGAGGGGAAGCATGTCAAAGTCCTTAACATCATTCAAATTAAAAGCAGAACAAAGGAAGAAACTGGAAGTCTGAAGGAATTTGGTCTTGAGAACAGAAAGAAAGCTGTAGAAGTTCGAGGAGAACTGGGTCAGACAAGGTCCTGTAGCCATGTCCTCACCGCGGTCCAGGGCCCGGTCCTCCAACCAGCGGGGCAGAGGAACCGGTTGCAGGTCCGCTTGGCCTCTGGCCGGTCGTCGCCACAGAGCTTGCTGTTCACTGAGCGGCGCTGCTTCCCACTGCTGGACTCCTGCTGGCAGCTCACCCAGCGGCGCTGCCACCCTGTCTGCCCACAGGAGGCGCTGCAGGCCTCCCAGTCCCCAGTCACCCACCTGGTGGAAGAGCCAAATGTTAGCCTGCTGTTGCTGACCAGACGGATTGGTCATGTTGGTTTACTGTGGTCATTTGCATGAGTTACTGTGGAGATCTGCAGCTCTCGGCATTGCACTTGCGGCTGATGGGTCTGGGCTTGTTGACATTGGAGCAGTAGACCCTCTCCACCATTTTCCCGTCAGCCTTCCTCCTGCAGCCAAACCGGGTGTACTGCGTCCCTGCAAAAGACGCTGACCTTTAGTCCCAGGAGGGTCATTACAGACTGGACACCTGCTGGCCAGGACATACCTCCACCACAGGGCAGGGAACAGTGGGACCACTTCTTCAGGGCCCACTCATAGACCACAGCTTCTTCCTGCACCAGGTTAGATTCCAGAGAGGACCGGATGTGGTCCTGAATGATGTAGCTGTAAGACACCGTCACCTTGGAGTCCAGGTGAGAACGGACCTGAGGAGCAGAGGAAGGAGGAGGTTGGCTCTTCTAGGCCTTTCAGAACTATTGGCAGTATTGCGCCGGTCCTTCTTTGAACTGACCATGAGTATGACGCCGTACTTCAGCGGCCCGTCGCTGTGCAGCACCTCCTGCTCACCGGTCTTGTTGTACTGCCACACCACTCCCTTCTCTATCACCACCCGGCTCTCAGGAATCTCATGTTCATCGTTGAGGAAGAAATGATCCGTCTCCTGGTTCTTCACGGCTGCAACGTAAAACTCTAGATCAACTTTGTTCCTGAGTCATCGGCTGAACCAAAGCGTCTTTGGTCCACCTACCCAGGGTGTGAGGGCTCCCCTTAAACTCCTGGATCACCAGATGCCTGGCTCCTTTGGGAATTTCCAGCATCTTCAGGTAACCTACAGCATGGGGCCAATCATCATTCAGACATTGATGAACCTGTTATAGCATTACGACCACAGACTCCATCAGAGCTCTGAAAGTTTGCTTTGGTTCTGGAGTCCAAGCAATCAGAACCTGATCATACGAGGAACCTGAAGCCTTGGACTGGTTGGTCCACAACTGGAAGTTTGAAGAATTTACAACTTTATTTCTACATTCCAAATTCCTTCAGGATTTAGAAATCCCAAAGTCCTAAACAGTTTAGGTAAAACTAGTCAGAAAAACCAAAAGCCGATTAAAAAAATGTTTTTAACTGTCCAGAGTAAAAAAGAAAGACGGGAAAGAAACTTTTCAGTTTCATGTGAGGAGGTGGTGATGAGAAACTGTTGAATATCATCAGCATAGCTGAGGCAGGAGATATCATCGGTTAGCTGCTTCTAGCTCCTGCTAGCTGCTATTAGCTGCCATTAGCTGTGGTTATCTGTGGCTAACAGCACTATACAGACTTGTGACACACATTAGCTGAGTAAGTTCAGATATAGCTATCTCTCCCAGTCACTGGTGGGTCTGAGCCTTATCAGAGGCACCAAGGACCCTGGTCCAGTTAGTGACCTCCACTTCCCGTTATTACTGCCATGCGTAGCAGCAACACCTGAGCCATGTCAGCCTGGTTGATTTACTCCAAACCAACAGATGGAAATTCACATTTTATGTTTGTTTCTTTGTTGTTGTTTTTTGTGACATTTCTAACATTAGTTTATAATTCTCATGACAATTGGATGGAACAGCTTGGACAAACAGAACATCAGACTTAAGACCCTGACCTCTGACCCAGTCCCCAGGGTTTCTCTGATGGAGAAGCTGTGGATGGTCATAATGTTGTGCCTGATCAGTGAGTCACCTAGCTTCCTGGTGCTGCGGGTGAAGTTCCCCTTAATGATCTTACAGGTGGAGTCGTCTCCGCCACAGACTCCACACTGATCCTCCCGCCGATCCGAGGCGATCTGGCCGTCGCATCCCACATGCTGTGGGTGGGGGGCACATGCAACAATGCTGAGCAACGCAACGCTGCTGAGTGACAAGACCTCAGAAAATAGGAATTAATTCTACAATGAAATGATCAAATTGGTCAATCACAGGGAAAACAACAACTGCCTGAAAGAAAAGAAAATCTTAATTATTCAGGATCATTTTGGGTCAAGAGTTTTTATTTCCCTCTTTATTCCTCAGTAAATTAGAAGCAAGAGTCAGGAGAAAAACGGCTCAGGATGTGAGTCAGGCCTGGAAACTGAAACACAATAAAGACCTCACACTCTCCTCGGACGCAGACGCTGTAGGCGTCGTCGTAGGAACACAGCGTCCCATCATGCACCATTCTGTTCATGGACACCACGGCGCCCGTCTCCTTGGATTGACAGTACAGTCGGCAGCGCTCGTCCTCTGCACACACGCACACACACAGGCTTAGAGAGATTTAAGGTGGAATATCTGAAGATGATCATAAAAATCCTGCAGACACTAAATTATTCTCAGATGATGAAGAGTTAAAGGGAGGAGAGGCTCAGAGTTTCCTTCCAACAACGGATTCCTGTCTGATGACTTTAACATGTGAGAGCGCGCACACACACACATACACACACACACACACACATCCATGTACTTCTATGCAAACTGAGGACTTTGCATTGACTTCCATTCATTTTACTAACTGCATTTGTGCCTAACCTGGACACTAAACCAGTACTAGTTTAGTCCGAACTAACCTTAACCAGAACTTAATCCACTGCTTACCTTTAAAGCTATGTAAACTAGTAGAGCTGCAAAAAAATGAGGACCACAAAAATGTCCTCACTTTCCCCAATGACCTCTATTTGTGGGTGAAAGTGGTGAAAGTGTTCTTCTATTTGTGATATACCCAATAATGTACACACACATGCACATGTATTTATTGCCACATTAGGATAATTCAGACCTTGCTTTGGTCCGTATAATTTCATTTTAGGGTCAAAATTTTAATTCATTCATTAGATTAATGGATTAAATAGATTTTAACGTGTTAAAAATTTTAACAGAATTAACTGTTTTTTTTGTTTGTTTGTTTTTTTCTATACAGAAGTCCTGAGTCAGAACCTTTATATTTGCACATTTCTGGTATTAACAGCAATGGAGGTCATTTTTTTTAATTGTTTGCAATAAAGAAAGAAAGAGAATAAAAAACTATAAATATCTTTGTTGAGCTCATATGTCTATTTATTCAATAATTTAGCAGCGGTTTAACACTTGAATTGGAAATGTTACTTATTTAATTGATGTATAATTTTAGATTTAAATGTGAGCAGTTAATTGCAGACCCTGAAATTAACTTCATTAACATTTTAATCCAGTCCTTGTACTCAGTCATCGGTCCTCAGAAGACACGTGAAAATGCCAGAACAAGTCCTGAAGAGTTAGCCTAAACAAGTACAAACACACTCGTACACACAGGTCTGTCTTTGGTATTTGTGAGGACTGTGAATTACAAAGTGCATTCCAGTGACATTAGACTGAAGTTGAACCCAGATCTGGTCCGTCACACAGCATTACACAACTTCCCCACAAAGAGAAGAGATTCCATTGAAATATGAACCCAAAGGTCTTAAAACACATCTGTTTATATCAGCAGCAGCCAGGAACAGCATAGTTCCGGTTTACTGGCATCATGTTAGCATAGCGGGGCGTCTGTTACTGACATGACATTAGCATAGCTGTTTTCTTTTATGACATCTTGGTAGCATAGCAATATGTCTTTTACTGGCATCATGTTGCCATGGCAGTGTCTGCTACTAGTATCAACCTAGCATAACCGTGTGTCTGTTTCTAGCATTATGTTAGCATAGACGTGTCTGCTACTAGCATCATGCTAACTTGTGTGTCTGAGTGGGTGCATTTACGGTCAGGATGCTCATATGGACGCCAATGATGCTTCATTCCTTCATGCTCCAGGAATGGATTCCAGGCTTTACACTGATCCTCCCTGAAACACAACACTTCAGATGTTCTGATCCGTTCAGCCTGCGGACAGAACCAGGTTCTGATCCGGTCAGCCGGAGGAGAGAACCAGGTTCTGACCTGGTCAGCCAGAGAACAGAACCAGGTCCTGACCTGAAGTCGGTGAGGGGGGGGCAGTCCTCCTGGCTGCACAGCTGGAACTCATAGCTGTTCCCGTAGCAGGTGCGCCCTCCGTTGGCTGGACTGAGAACAGTGACAGGTAAGTGTGTCTGATTGGTGCAGCTGGTGATTGGCATCACTACTGGTCACTCACGGGGGGTTATCACACTGTCTGGTCCGGAACCGGACCCCGCCCCCGCAGGTCCGGGAGCAGCTGCCGAACGGACTCCAGCGCCCCCAGTTTCCATGTTGCTTCAGGAGGTTTGGGGTCAACTTGATGCAGAAGCCTTTGAAGCAGTGCTGCAACACAGACAGCTGCCTTGGTGACTCATCTGGTTGTGTGGATAAAGACTGGAAACATGTTCTCCAGTGGTACCATTTGGTACTGGGGAGGTACCGGATGGTTCCTCTGCTGCTAGCAGAACTTCGTCGTTAAATAAACACTGATGATGAATTTGTGAACTCACCTTGCCTGGTCCGCACTTGGTCCCATCCAGCGGCGGACCTTTCTTGGTCTTACAGAAAAACGGGTTGTTGTAGTCACTGCACCACAGCTGCTTGCAGGGGTCAGGGGTCGTGTACTGAAGACACAAATCACTCAGAGATCAGAATCTGTGGCTTAAGATGATCTTGTTGATCAGAAATTAATCAGAAATCTCTCCAGATGTGAAATGAAAACAACACTGCACTCCATGAAGGAAAAACCTAGAACTGACAGGAAAACACCAGCAGGACTTTAATGAACTTCCTGATGTTTCCAGTACAGCTGTTGGCTGGGTCCAGATGTTGGCAGGGTTCATGTGCTGGCCGGGTCCAGGTGCTTGGCCGAGTCCAGATGCAGAACTGAACTGATAACGGGAAGCAAACCTGGAGGATTGGGTCCAGCAGCTCCGAGTCCAGTTAGTTGGATGTTTCTACTGATGACTTTGGTTCTGGTGGTTTTCTCCTCTGAACCAGATCAGGACTGGAAACATTTCAGCCAGGATATCTGCCAGCTCTTCGCCTCAGACTGGTCTGACAGAGAACCAGTCTGGGAATGAACGGCTGAAGAGACGATGCCACCAGATCATATTAGGTTCATTTTCTGTTCGGGTTAATAACTGGATCATTCTGCTCAGAGGTTTCAGCAGGAACCGACTCGGAGGCAGCTGTAACGGGTCGCTGCTCAGGTTCGGTGAGAACCTTGGGTCCAGCTGGACTCTGGGTCTGGTTGGACTCTGGATCAGTAAGAACCTTGGATCCGATTAGACTCTGACTTACAGCGGTACACATGCTGAATCCCGGGCCGAAGTCGAAGCGGCACTGCTGGTCCATGGTGTACTGGAAGCCTGGTAGCTGCGGCTGGGCGGGCCACTCGTGGCTGAAGGGGTCGTCACGGAGACAGTCGTAGGTGCTGCAGGCAGAGGGAGTGACTGTGAGTGGAAACCCTCCTGGCGCTGAAGGCACTGCTGCTGCTACTCACTGCAGGTAGCGATGCAGCTCCCTCCAGCTACAGCTGGACCAGTGGTAGCGGTAGAAGGTGGCCTGGACCCGGGGAGACATGATGCTGCCTAGAGGGACATCATCCATGCAGTTGTTCATCTCCCCATCGTGCTCCATGCCCAGCCTGCACACACACACCCACGCACGCGCGCACACATACACACACACCTTATCTTAGTTATTTATCACTAAACAGGTAGAATTATCCTTAGTATCACCATTCTTGTGTGACTCACACGTGGCCCGTCTCATGCGCAGCAACAAAAGCCGAGGAGAATCCGTCTTCTAGAACCAGGACGCAGCTCCGGTGCAGCTGGCACATCCCGGTGACCGGAGCATAACCTGCAGCACCGCGCAGCACAAGAAAGGGAATATTATTATTATTATTGCTAGTAGTAGTAATAGTAGCAGTATTAGTAGAAGTAGTAGTAATAGTAGTGTTCGTAGTACTATAGGTAGCTGTAGTACTATACGCAGCTGTAGTACAGCAGCAGTACCAGAGGTAGTAAAGTAGCGGTACCCTGCATGCCAGTGGGACCGAACTCCTGGCGGGTCAGGTAGATGGTGTGGTCGTGCTGCGCCTCCTGGGTCTGCTCCACCTGCTGCAGGTACGACCATCCGCAGACATTCTCCAGGCTCTTCTGAGGATTCCCCACCGCAATCAGCTCATGAGACTGAGGGACCAAACAAGTCCAGCTTTTACTGGTTTTCTACTTTAAACAGGAGCTGTTCTGCCTCATGCTAACTTCCTGTTAGCATGTGGCCTGAGCAGATTGACTTTCTGTTAGCATGTGGTCTGAGCAGAGTGACTTCCTATTAGGAGAGTGACTTCCTGTTAGCATGTGGTCTCAGCAGAGTGACTTCCTGTTAGCTGTGGCCTGAGCAGAGTGACTTCCTGGTAGCAGATTGACTTCCCGGGGGGACGTTGCAGCCCGTACCTTGGTTCCGGTCAGCATGATGATCCGGGCTACCACCACGTTGATGTTGGCCCCCAGAGAGGGATCCTGGTAGATCTCATTGACCTGCAGGAAACGAGCAGAATCTGCATGAGGAGCTTCTGAATGTAACCAAGAGCAGGAAACAGAGCAGGAGAACATCAGACAGAAGGAACCAGAACCCAGAGCAGTTCTTCTGGGTTCTTTGTTCATTCATGTAGCGGCACTTTGCAAGCGCCTACATGGATGGATACAAAACTCATGACTGCTTCCACCTACAATGTTCATCAAGGTGAGGAGATATTTCAGGATGTGTTCTCGGCCGTGGAAGAGAACCAGGGAGTAATCCACGGCCAGCAGCACCTGGAGGACGCAGAGGCAGGTGAGCACCAATCAGAGAGCAGGAAACTAAACGCCTCACACAGAAAACACATCAAACACTTAATTAATCAACATAGAAACACAGAAAAACACAAGGAAACGTTGAGTCATAAAAAAATAAGGTGAGATGGAGAAGATAACCTTTGACCTTTGAAGGTTAGCAGCAGTGAGCGGTTTTGGGTCTGACCAACCATTTCTCAGGCGGTTTGTTCTGATCAACGGAACCAAACTCCGCTCTGATGTCGAGAAGAACCTGGACAGACCATTCTTATGCATCACTGTGAAGACCTTCAGAACCTCGTGGTTCTGTTGGCGATCCAGAACCAGACAGATGAGGGGCTATGAAATCGTCCAGTCTGGCTTCACTAGCCACAGTTTAAGTCTTTACTGGCTGCTGGACTTCGGGTGTGACATCAGGAAAGATTAAATAATCTGGTGTTTTTTTCTCCTGGCGCTCAAGTGACTCATCCTAATCTCTGATTGGCTGAGAAGCAGATGGACTCCTGGGATTTTATCTGCTCAACTGATCAAAGGTGCTAATACTTTGTTCCGACATAAATCTGGAGTTATGAGAGAGCAAAGGTCAGAAAGGTCACGTACCTCAATGTGAAACATTTCAGCCAAAGTGTCACGGCGCCGACGACCTGACCCGTTTGGACCCAGCGTTGAGTTTGGGTTCAGCAGTCCTAGCAGCGGCCCTGCAAGCACAATTCATCCAGTCTGAAGATCAGGAGGTCAGCTCAGCTGATTCAATGGATCCAAACAACTGATGGTGTTTCCAGGATGGACCAGAACCACAGAGACCTCCATGAACCTCATTAGAATCCGTCAGTCCTGTAACAAGTCCCCGCCCAGCCAACCGAACAGCGGTGGATCTCCGGCCAGAGTTCAGCTCATCCCCACAGGCTTTAACTACAACATACACTGGAAATAAAAACCAGATGAAGCACAGGAGCCAAAGGCTGACCTCTGATCTCAAACACTGAAGCCAGCAAACCCTGATGTCCATAAAGGGTTGCTATGGAAACCAGGCAGAGAAAATCTCTCTTTACCTCGTAAACAGTCTGAAGAACGGTTATGAGGCTGCACCAGTACTGACCAGTACAGACCACTAAGGCAGGAAACCCAGGGGGAAGGTAACCTCTTCCTCTGGGTTCTGTGCATTCTTGAGACATTTTGTGTTGAAATGTGTTTCACAGCATTTTCAGTTCCATTGTTTTGCTTGCAGTGGGTCTCTGTGTGTCTCTGTAGGTCTCCGAGTGTCTCAGAGTGTCTTTGTGGGTCTCTGAGTGTCTCTCTGCATCTCAGAGTGTTTCTGTGTGTACCAGAGTGTCTCAGTCTTTGAGCACAAAGCCAAGTTTCCTGGACCTTTTCCACCGTGTTATTTTCCTTCTTTCAGCTGGAATGAAGGAGTTGGAGGAGCTGCGGCTCCGCTCGGTTTGTTAGCATGCTAAGACGCAGCGCAGAATGCAACAATCTGAACTCGGGTTGGTTTTCTGAAGTGGCGCTGGGTCAGTGTGATTGGTTCCGACTGAAAACTGATTGATAAATGCTTCCATTGTTTCAGTTCTGATCCCTGACTGGCTCGTTGGGTTTAACGATGACATTGATGGCCCCTAGTAAGCCTAAACACCTCTGACCTCCTGATGGTTGCTATTATCTGAACCAGACCTGGCAGAACAGAACCAGTGCTTGACTCACCTCGCAGGAAGTCCTCTGAGGTCTGATTTGCAGCTGATGGTTTCCTGATGATGGCTGAAGAGTGATAAACAATGTGCCTTCGCTCGCCTTCGCCCTCCTCCTCATCGTCTTTCAGCGGTTCAATGAAGAACTCGTCTCCTCCGGTCCGGATCATCCCTGCCTAGAGACACGAGAACCTGCTGTAACCTGGTTCCGGATCAGTTTACCTGTCTGGGCAGCAACCAGCATTAAACTAGAACCAACTGGATTGGCCCAGTTTACAACCAGCTTCATTCACAGAAAGGTTCTGGAGTCTGACTCGGGATCAATGCAGAGATAAAACATCATCATCATCATGAAGACCAAAATGATCAAAGTCAGTATGGAGGAATGCTGAGAGTCATGTAGATCCAGAGATTCCTCAGCAGATCACCGAGAAACAGATCTTCAAGGACCTGAAACACTGACTCCTACCAGAACCTAACACCAACCAGAACCAAAATCAGGACCAGGACCAGATGTCTAGGAGTCTCCAGATCGTCTCTACCAGTCTCCTTTGCTAAACCAACCCTCTTCTGATCCTCCATCACCACCTGATCCTTGGCTCTAGTCTTTGTCCCTGGCGAAGACTAGAGCCAGGGACTGGGGGAACCTCCAGTCCAATATGGCCGCTGTTCCCCCAAAATATTTCAGCCTCATCTTTCAGGCATTTGGTCCTGAACGTTTGGACCAGTCCGGCTCTGGAAACCACCTACCAGTCCGTCGCAGTTGCTGATTGCCACAGACGTGTCATCCAGGTCTGACACTGTTCCTGTGTAGAAGCAGTCATCCTCTCTGATTGGCTCAGAGTGCAGGTATCCTGACTCCTCCCACTCCAAGGTAGCAGTAGGAGCAATAAGGCGGGAGTTTGGACGCAGCCGCAGGTGGAGGTGCCGACCAAACACAGTCACGTTGTAGAAGAGCTCTGCCTCTTCCTTAGGACTCCTCCCCCTCCATGAATGGCTGAACGATGATCTCCAAGTGGGCGGGGCCTGTTGTGCCTGGGAATTGTTGGGCGTGTCCTTATTGGAGGGGGCGTGTCTCTTGCTTCGGTATGAATGGTGGGCAGAGACTGACTCTGACAGGAGCCGTCCCTCTGAGTCGGTTCTGATTGGACGAATGATGCTGAACTCTGACAGAACCTGATGGAGAGAACCTGGGAGACAGAAGATATTTAAGACCGGGTCATCATCAGATCAACGAATTATTCAGAACAATTATTGACTCGGTTAATGTGAAATGGACTCAACTGCATCTTCAGCAGAACCTTCATTAAAAACACAGAAGTCAGTCATCACTTGCAGCCAGCGAGTTCATCATGTGTGATAGGTTACTGGAGCTACAGTAGGAGGAGCTACTCTCTTCAACAACCAGGACCAACCGGTACCGTCCGGTACCAACCAGTACCAGGACCATGGTCAGATCCAAACAACAGACACTTTTGTCTTCATTACTGGGGACTGGGAACTGGACCGGGTTTGTGTTGGACCGGACTGGTCTCTCTCTGTCCGTGCTATAGCCTCAACAGCAGAGCCGTCCAGAACCAGACTGTTGGTTCTGATGTTCTGGTGTCAGAACATCAGACACCAGCTAAAGCTTTAGCTTGGAAGTTGCTGGTTCCGCTTCTTGGGTTCTTCCTGTCCGTTGGTACTACCTGGTCCAAGTGGTGTCCATTGACGGCTCCAACACGTTAGCTGAAGGAAGATGCTTCACTCTGAGGCATATATCCTGGACTTTCTGTCCTGTTTTGGAACCACACCAGAAATCATCTGACCCAGCTCCACCAATCAGAGCAGAGCGAGCACAGGCAAACTCATGGCTGCTTCAGGTGCAAAAACATCCTGGTTCTGGTTCCAGTTCCGAGAAGCCAGATGGTTGATTAAACTCCATCCAGAACCAACTCGTCTGTCTAGAGACAAAATGCTGGTTCTCCTCTTTCCTCCGAGACGATTTTAATCTTTAATTTGGCTCCTTTTGAGCTTACTGTGAATTTAAATTTTTCTCCCCCCGTTTGTCTCGGTCCAGTCGGGTAGAGACGGGTCCAGTTGTTTCTCTTCCTGGTTTCTGTCTCCAGGTTGTGTTGATGTTCTGGTTTGGATCCGTTATACTCTTCCCGGTGTTTTCTTGAGGGTTGGACCTTGGTTCTGTTGGAGAAATGATTCTGGTTTGGTTCTGGAGGAACACCAGAATCCCTCTGACTCCTGCAGGTCCCTGCTCTAAGCGTGCTCGGTAGACGCTTTCCCTCCCTGGAACCCCAGATGGATGGATGCATGTATTCACAGTAGCTGATATGATTTACACACACACCCACACACTCACTCACTCGCGCTCTCTCTCTCTCTCTCTCATACACACAGGAGGATGTGATGAAGCCTGAGCTGCTTCACATTCTCTGAGCGCCTGAAACATAAACTCTGAGCCCTATGGAGGGAGCATGCAGGGGTCAGAGGTCATGGCTGGAGGACCTGTCCACCACAGAAGAAGAGAGGAACATGAGCTCACCTGAGAAGCAGCAGCTGACATGCAGCAGGAAGACGAGGACCAGCAGTCCAGAACCAAGCCTGTCCATGCTGGAGGGACAGACGGGAGACGGACCAATCTAGACTGACTGAGCGCCGGAGCTCCGGCTTTTTCACTCTGTTATTATCTCCTCCCTCAGCCGCCGCCGCATATGTGTGTGTGTGTGTGTGTGTGAAATAATTTGATGTTGTGACTCTGGACCAGCCAGAATTGCTGCAGTTGCTCGGTGTGACTGCGCCCCCTGCTGGACAGCAGCTGCAGTCACACTGGAAAACTCTGCTGTATTCAAATTGTGCTAAAAGCAGTTAGCCTATCAGAGAAGCTACACTAGCCTAAAATAGCACCTGAATGCTAACATGTAGCAGCTAATAGTAATGTTAGCATCCACAGTCCACGAATAATTAAAGAAACTCTGGAAAATGAATGGATAGAAAACCTCTTTGCTATAAAAACCTTAAAAACCAGAAATCAACCAAAATGTTGCTTAATTTGTTGATACTTTATATATAGTTTTTGGTTGAAATGTGGTTAAGTAATTACCGTTGGACCGAACCAGAACTTGACGTTATCAGAACCAGGTCCCAAGCTGCTTTGATCTACCGACCTGAAACATCAACCTGAGAAAGTCATCTACTGGCTCCACCGGAGCTCACAGCAGGAAAACTTTTTCATACCAACATCCCAGCAGCATCCCAGCGTTGCCATAAAGATGACGGAGGGCCGTCTCCATGGCAACGCTCCAATAGTTCAGACTGGAGTTTCCCTCCATGATGAATCTAATCAGCTGCTCTGTTGTTCACACCTGGAAAAATCTAAATAACGTTTTGTTATGAGGAAGTTCTGATTCTGTTCGGATCCACTCGGTTCTGATAAAAATGAGGCAGCAGCTGGACAGAAAATAAAGAAATGAGAACGGTCCAGGCCCGGTGGCTTGGGGATTTGAAAGTCATTTCCCACCCACAGAGTTAGCCATGCTAACATAAACTCTTAGCCATGCTAACTCTGACTGGATGCAGTTATTTTTTATTTTCACTTCAGAGTGGCCATCTTTCTATCTCTGTTTGATACATTCGGGGCTCGCGCACTTCCCGTATCTGTGCCCTCTGTCTACCGCACATTTTTCAGCCGTTACAAACAGCTTAATCTATTGTTAGCATGTTATAACGTGTTTTTCCGAGCCGCCTTTAAACGCAGCATGAGCGCTAAGAAACTCGCCCCGATTTTACACCTGGCAACGACGGAGACCTGCGGCTGCGCAGAAACAGGCATGTGTCTGCGCAGAATCATGGCAGTAAACCAGCAAAAGGCAAAGATCTTAGCACAGTTTCCCCCAAAACTAACAGAGTGAGCTGATTAATGCTGCTGAATGCAGTCAATGTTAGCTACATTATGACTACCTAATGTTAGCCACTGATGTTAGCTACATGACTAGCTAATACTAATGCTGTGAAATCAAAAGACAGCCAGGTAAATAACTGTACAACTCTTTTCACCTTTAATGTGACCTATGACCTTTACAACACTACTGAAAAACAGAAATCTTTCAGGGAAGTGAAGTATAAATAAACAGCCATAATTTTAAGTCCTTTTATAACTGGGATGTGATCTGATTTAACCTGCTCCATTCAAACGTTACCTGGTAAAGAGCCTCTGATCAAATAGAGTTCAGCTGGTCTCGTTTGCTTTTTCTGACATGTTTACAGACATCTCCCAGCACAAAACATGGAGAGCATGGAGAGCCTTTAAGGCATCAGAGGGGTCTCTGTATTCAAAAGTATCCGTCAGGGGAAGGCCACAAAATAATTTCCAAGGAATTAAATATACCATGGAACACAGTGGAGACTGTCATCGGGTAGAGAAAATATGGCCCAACAGCGACATTACCAAGAACAGGACGTCTGAACATCAAGGCTGACAGCAGCACTGGAGGAGCTGCAGGAGTTTCTGTAGCTACTGTCTGGATACTACATGAGATGATTGTCTTCTTCACGTTTCTGGGCTTCAGGCCGGCCTGAGGGAATCCTGAGCTGACAGGAAAACATCCAGGCCCGGTTTCATTAGCAAAAATATGTCATGGTCTGTTGAAAAAACATCTACAGTGGAGCATGGTGGTGGTAGCATCATGCTCTGGGGCCTTTTGTGTTCAGCTGGACGTAGGACGTTAGTCAGAATGGAGGGAATCCTGAAAGACTCCAGATACCAGTCAGTGTTGGGAGTAAAACCTTCAGCCTTCAGAGGAACTTCATGTTTCAACGACCCAAAACACACAGAAACCAAGTAAAGAAATGCTTCACTGCAATGAGACTGAGGCTTTGGAACAGCCCAGTCAAAGTCCAGACCTCGATCCCACAAAACATGTGAAGAGGGCTGAGCACAGGCAGCGCAATCTGACCAATTGGAGCAGCTTTTAAAAGAACAGGCTCCTCCCATGAACACTGAGGCTGGAAGAAAACCAGAAGTCCAGCAACAAGGAGTTAAAGGAGTTTATGCAGCCAGGTTATTTTATTTCCCTTTGCTGGTTTCAGTCTCTTTTTCTGCTACAGTGTGCAGGTCAAAGGTCACATTAAAGGTGTAAAATGTCCTTTTTACATGATGAAAACTTGACATGAACAGGGCACATAAACTTTATATCCACTGTAAATCACATTTAGCTCAAGTACAGGCTGCTAATGTTCTAAAGTGTGGCTACAATTGCTTGAGTTTATGGGAAAATGTACTTTCTTTTGAGTAATATTGCTGTAGATTTTGTATTATTTAGAAATAACCTTCAGGGATCAGAAACGGATTGTTAGATGGAGCCAACAGTTATGCTAATCAGAGCAGAATCACTCAGCATTTCCTCATCGTTTCAGATAAAGTGGTCATTTGAAAGGCAACATAGACCTTCATGCACCTCATGTTGACATCTGGCTGACTGCGGCCCCAGCTGGTCAGAGCCGGTCTGAGCTCAGTGGGTTTTAGCTTCAGAAACAGAACATTTTCACATCAACCAGACTCAGAGTTAACCACAAGCTTTTATTGTGAAATTCCAGCAGCTGTTTACAGACGACGACCGCGGCGACCGCCCTTCCTCCTGGTAGAGTCTGATGGGATCGGAGTGACGTCCTCTGGACACAAGAAGAAGAACATGGCGGTCAGTTAAAGGGACGGTGCACCAGAACAGGGCTGGCGGTTCTGATGAGAAGTTTTGAACTGAACAGATCATCGGCCATGGCAACAGAACCAGGCTGTAGTCCTTGGTGACCAGTGGTGGTAACCATGGCAACAGGCGGCGCCACAAACAGGTTCTGCTTCAGGCCAAAAGAGAGACGGAGGACTTCTGAACCGCCCTCAGTTATTAACATTTAATCAGTTATTGATCTCCATACTGTCAATGAACAGCAGAGGAAACAGTTTAAACATTAGATCATTAAATTGTGATGATGAATTTATCCCAGGTTAATGCTCCTCCCAACAACAGGTGGGGGCGGGGCTCTGCAGCAGACTGGTTTTTGCCTGCAGAGCAGAAAAACCATCCAGGAATCACAGAGTTATAAGTCTGAGTTGTTTAGATGTTTTTAATGCGTTTCACTGATCTCTAGCCCAGAAACATTTATTCTACAGCCATTTTCAACCTCTTGGATCAAAACTCTCATAACTGAAAGTTTTGAAGTGACCAAGTTTGCTCTGATTTATTTTAGTTTCCTCTGAAAGTTAGTCAGATGTTGAATGGAAAATATTGACATAAATGGGAAACAAAACAAAGTTATATTGTTTACAACAGCGGCCACTGATCTGAAATGGGACCTTTTTATTATTTTGTAAGTGATAGATATGTCTGACATATTTCTGGTAGATTTGTTTCGGTCCAGGCTGGTAACATCTACAGCGCCTTTAAATCAGATCAGAGAAACTAACAGCAGAAACTTTAAAGGCTTAAAGTTCAGATCATCAGATCTTCTTCCTGTTTCCTCTAATAAACATAAAACCTGGAGCGTTCCTCTAGCTCTACCCCTGATGTCAGCGTCTGTTACAGTTTTCTACACTAGAAATGTGTATTGTTTCACTGGCGCCTTCATTACCCAAAATCCCTCACTAGTCACATTACACAATCAGTAGATTTCACCCGAGTTAACGTCAACATTAAACTTTAGATAGAAACTAAAGTTTTAAGTTCAGACAGAAACTTCTCTCAGTGTCCAGAGGGGGCAGCAGAAAGTCCCAATGGGCACCACAATAACACTAACATTACATACTGACCTCATGATCACAGTCAAACATGGTTACCAAGGTAACAAACCAGTCTGCCAATTCAGACAAATTTCACAAACATCCCATAATAACCACTACGTGACTAAGGAAAATGAGCCAATCAGAGCTCAGCTTCTACCTGAAGAGACTAGACCAGAACTGGGCCAGAACCCACCTGGTGGAACACTATACACATTTTGTGTGTGTGAGAGTGTGAACTAGGTCTTTATATCCTGGTGGGAACCTCTCTGTCTACAGTGTGGGTTGTGGGAACAACTACTCCCTATGGAGATGTTTTGGTCCCCAGGAAGGGAAACGCTGCTTTAGGGTTAGAGGTCAGGGCTAAGGTGGTTAGGCTGTAGAAATGAATGGAAGTCAATGGAAAACACGACTGTGTGTGTGTGTGTGTGTGTGTGTGTGAGAGTAGTACCGATGCGTCCGATCTTCATGCCGGACCGGGCCAGAGCTCTGAGTGCAGACTGGGCTCCAGGTCCAGGAGTCTTTGTCCTGCAACAGACACACAGCTCAGCGTGCTGACTTCTGACCTCCGGGCAGTAACCCCTGACCTCCAGCTGAGCCTACCTGTTCCCTCCAGTGGCCCTCAGCTTGATGTGCAGCGCCGTGATGCCCAGCTCCTTGCAGCGCTGCGCCACGTCCTGAGCCGCCAACATGGCGGCGTACGGCGACGACTCGTCTCTGTCCGCTTTCACCTTCATGCCGCCTGTCACACGGCAGATAGTCTCCCTGGAAACAAGCGGCCATCAGAACCGGACCTGGGAGTCGGAGGTCGGGCCAGGGGTGCACTTACTTCCCGGAGAGGTCGGTGACGTGGACGAAGGTGTCGTTGAAGGAGGCGAAGATGTGGCAGACGCCGAACACGTTCTCTCCCTCAGCCACCTGCGGGCCCAGGCTGATCACCTGCTCCTCCTTCTTTTCCTTGCCTTTACGGGGAGCCATGTCTGCTGGAGGAACCACAGCATCAGAACCAGAACATCACAGCCTCACTGTGTCTGTTCAAAACCATAACATCATAGAGATACTGGATCTTCTCAGAATCTTACTGGGTGTGTTCTGAACCAAGCAGAGCACCAGGTTCAGAGTCAGACCAGCAGCTGTCCGGCAATAGAAGCACCGGGCACAATGCTCACATGGAGGATCGACCTGCAACTTGATGCTCCGGATGCTAACCAGAACTGATACCAGAACCAGTTAAAGCTGCTGTCCCAGTCCTTTTAACAGACTGACACCAGAATGTTCTCCTGGAGTTCAGACGTGCTATTAAACATTGCAGTAAATTCTACATTTACATGAAGAAACCCATAGCGAGGATAATGTTAGCATGTTATAGCTTTCCCTCAGACACCACTAAAATAAACCTAACATTTATCACCTGGCGAAGAATTTCAACGCCATGATCAGCCCATCTCATCGTTCCGAACCCTAAATAATCTCTAAAACAATAATTTTCACAATAAACTAGCTCTATTTTCCCGCTGCTGGACGCACCGTGAGAAACTAACATGGCGGCACGGCACAGCGGAAAAACAAGTGGAAAACGGGACATAAACGTAGCTCTAATATTTCACAGAGACATAATTCAGACCCCAACAGAACCTTAATGCATCAATCTGTCAGAAAACACGCCTGGGTTGGTAGGATGGTCACCTGGAAAGAAGATTAAAACAGATTTATTCCTCAGCAAGACCCACCTTACAGCGTCTCTTCACTGAGCACAATCAGAAAGGAAGGAAGCTCCGCCACCGGAAGTAGAAATAATGAGGCTCTCAATCTGCTGCTGCTGCCCCCTGCTGGACACTTCTCCACTCGCTGTCTATCAGATTGAATCCTTCAACCTCGACTTTGATCTGATCACAGGAATCAAACTTTGTAGCTTTCTTTATATTTTCATGATTTTGTTTTGTTGCTAATTATATGGTGCTTTATTTTAATTTTATCATCTTTTTAATTGAGCTTGACTTACATTATGCAAATAGAGTCTACTTTTATTTGTTAATTTTTAAATATTGTTTCACATGAATTTCTTTGCTTTTAGCTTATATTTATTTTGAAGCAACTACAGTTTATATTTTTTATTTTCTTTAGGTTTATAATTTTTAATTAATTAAACTATTAATGTGCATGCATATTAATTTACCATATTTTTTTCTCCTGTTTTATTAAGCTATCAGAGAAATAACTCTATTATTAGAATCGATCTAAAATTCTGCAGTTTTTCTAACTGACAGATTAGACAGTTCTGACCCGGTACTGCTGCAGAAGCTCAGATGATCTAGAAACCAGATATTAGAGTGAATACTGGGAGGAGAAACGGACCAATCAAAGCAGAGAGTTTGACCATCTCATTTATTTACAGAATCATATTGAACACGATGCAGAAGAAGAAGAAAATACTCCAAAAACTACAAAAGAAACTATTTAAAAACACACTCTCTCCCTCAGACACACACAGACTCCCACAGGTAAACACTGAGCATGCAGCATTAGTCCAGTTAATGCAGTACATAACAATATCCATCATAGTAGAAAAAGCTGAGAGGATTATTGGGGATTATTGATCACTGATTGGTTCTGCAGGGCGACAGAAAGCAGGAAGAGCGGCTCTCTGGGCTGGACTTTAATCCAGCAGGGATACATTCAGCCGGCTCATTTATTAACTTATTAATATCTGGAGCTTCTTCCTGCTTCCTGACCGCAGAGCTGCGGCGGGGGGTAGGATCCCACATCATAACGCCGCCGCCACGCCGCTGAGTCGGGAAGCGGATCTTGAAGCGGATCCAGCAGCAGAACGATTCTTTTCGGGGAATCGACTCAGCTTCAACAGCAAAAAGTTTCTAAAAAATGACATCTCAGATATTTTTGCATCGTTCACCACTAATAAATACTTTCAAGTGTCGTAAGAGTTCAGAGTGAAGGTGCAACTGTAAAAACCACTGAGACTGTAGGAAACAGCCGTTTACTCTGCAGCGCCACCCGGAGTCCAGACGGGGCATTGCTCTGCAGGCTGGCTGCACCTGACGTTCTGGAGGAACGTTAGCTGCAGCAAACACCGGCTCTAAAGGTCAGGGGTCATCCACAGGCTGGCCAATCAGCAAAGAGGGGGGCATCTTAACGGGACAGGAGCGCAAACAGAGATTATCTGCAGTGGTGTGCAGAGATAGCTAAAAAGTTAGCTACGCTAATACTAACACGCTACAACAACACGGTATTTAACAAATGCTAACACTAAAGCCATTCAGATTATTGACAACCCATCAGCACCACTTTAATGTTGACATTATAATTTACAAGTTCATAACAAAATGATGTTTACATGCTGTTCATTGTAAACTTTATTCAACTGAAAGTTCATAAAACAGCTGAGAAAATTAGCACTTTAGAATTTATCCAGAAAATTAAGTCAAGATAAGTTAGCAACAACGCTGAAGCTAAAAATTAGATCTGCTGTTAGCGCATTAGCATTAGTGTGCCCACCACTGATTTAAAAGCATGAATTCAGAGTAGGAGGAACAGAACGGGTCACCAGAACAGAACCTGATGTACCAGCTTTAAGGTGCAGCGCTTTCTGACGCAACTTCCTGTTGGATCAGTGGGCGTGGCATAAACATAAGCTATAAGGCTCCGCCCCTGATGCCCCGCCCCCTGTGTCCTCAGCCTGGACTCCGAATGACCCAGAGATCAGTGTGAAGCGAACCAAAGGGCAGCAGCAGGGAAAACATTCAGCAGCTGCTAAAACACGGAAAAACCCAAACCAGGAAGCTGGAAGCTTAAAAAGCTTCAAATATACAAACGCCACACAAGAAGGTATAATATCATCATCATCGTCATGGTAAGAATCTGATTGTACAAAGTTCTACATTCTCCCGACGGTAAAAAGCTCCTGAAAGCTTCAGAGACAAACACAACGCGTCCGAAGAGGCAGAATATCAAAGTGGCACCGGTGGCGTTTCGTTAGCTCAAGGCTAACGGACGCCAATGATCCCAATGAGGAATGCTAGCAGAGCTAAAACCTAGCAACAGAAAGGTCCGAGAGTCGGGAACGGCCGGAACGTGGTGGCGCCTGAAGCCCAAACACTAAACACAAAGTCCAGCATGCAGAGAGTCACACAGTCTGTACAGAACCGGCACCAAGGAGGAAGAAACACGAGCTGTCCATGCAGGGTCCATCAGAACCAACATCCAGAGGGAGCTGCTGAGTTCTGCCTCAGTCCAGGTCAACCCAAGTTCCTAAAAACCCAACAGAGACGATCCAGAACAAACCCGCAGAACCTGGTGGCTCTGCTCACAGAGGTCCAGATGAGTCCAACAAGAGTACCAACCAGAACCAGGAGATGGACTGTGTAGGATGAGCCCAACTGGATCTGCAGCCAGAACCTGGTGGTGTTTAATGATCATGGAGGTTTAGCTGGTTCTGATCCATTTCAGCCCAACATTTGTGGTCTGTACCGTTTAGAAGGTTTTATTTAAATATATTGGATCAGAACCTGATCCATTTACTCACCTCTACACCTGGTACCAACCATGGTACTGGTACTCGTACCAGGTTGATGTGAATAGCATTGTGGTTCTGATTGGCCGTCTGTTTTTGGGTTTGTTCTAAAACGACCTGCTGGTTCTACTAAAGCAGCGCCTAGAATTTCCCAGCAGAATGAGACTTACAGACATCAAATCCACACAGACCTGAGGTCTCTTCCTCTTCCAGTTTCTAGATGGAAAACATTTCAACCAGAACGATAAACTTCCTCCAGCTGAAGGAGCCGTGGAGGAGGAGCAGGCAGCAGACAGCTCGCTAACTAGCTCGTTAAACTAGCTCGTTAGGCCCTTCTAGGTGTGGTGGGTGGTGTTAGTGGAAGATCGAAAGTGTAGGAAGTTTCTGGCACTCTCTGAACACCAGAGGGTGCAGTGTGCATGTCAGGTAGAGATGTGTGTGTGTGTGCGTGTATGTATGTATGTATGTATGTAAATGAGATATTATAATAAACTCTGTAATCAGCAAATAATCAATATTACAACTTATATATATTTTAACTCTAAAGATGACAATAAACTAAATATTATTTATTACTGCAGATACCTAAAGTGACCAGCAGGGGGAAGCCTTGTATCTCAGACTACTTCAGGCTCATTGGGATCAATGTGTTTGGTTCTGATGGTTTTCAGATTCTGATTAGTTGATAATAAACATCTGACATGACGATGTAAGCGCAGAGCTTTCTGCACATGCTCAGTAGCATCAAAGAGGTCAGAGCTAACCACACACTTTAATCAATGAGAGCTTCTGACCACAAGGGGGCGCTGTGTGCATACAGCTGGAGATACAAGGTTTCCTACCCACTGCCCGGATTGAGCTGATTGGTCGGTTACAAAGTCGTGTGATTGGTTGGATGACTGATTGGTTAATTGCTGATGGGATTCACTGCTGGATGACCGAAGCTTTCTGACCCCGCAGTCTCCTCCTCCAACGCCTCAAAGAAAATCCTGAATGGTTGGTGTCAGACAACAGCTGGCCTGCTGTCAATCATCCCGTTGTCAAGGCGACAGCAGCCCCATCAGAGCCCTGCCCACTCTGGAGGAGGACGTTAGCTGGAGGAACAAAGGAAGAGAGCTTCAGCTAAGAACGGTGGAGGAAGCATCATGACAGCAAACATCATAACCATGAAACACTGGAGGAAACTAAACTGGTCAATGTTTCATTTATCGTCTACCAGCTCATCTAAAGCTGAGCTGCAACATAAAGGCGTTCAGGAAGGCTGGGACAAACTGCTGAGTCTGGTCTGTCCCAGCCTGCCTGAACGCCTCTGCGGCCGGTTCTTACTTGCTGAGGGTGGAGGGCGATCCTGAGCGATGGAAGTGGACGATCTGCCATTTCCCGTCCCGGCGGTGCCACACCCGGGTCTCCTCTGATTGGGCAGTGCGCGGCGTGCCATTGGAGTCGATGTACTGCGTGACCCGGATGTAGGCGATGCAGGCGGCCTCGTCGCCCACCAGGTGGATGTGGGGGTTCAGGATGGTGGTGTGCACCGGCTTGCTGTTCTTGGACCACACTGAAACACACACACAGCGGTTACCTGTGCAGGTGAGCCGGCCTGGCCCATCCACAAGACTCAGACAAACTCACAGTTTTCAAAATAAAAGCGGTGGAAGTCCAAGCCTTCGACCAGGTTCCCCAAAGCCTCGGGTTCGAACGCCGTCACCGCCGGGTCGCACATCTTCCTGGACACAGAAAGAGAGGTTCTGCTGCCGTACCAGAGAGGTTCTGCTGGGACCTCTTGACCTCAGAGCAGAACTTCGTGGGCCAGACCAGAACTAGCAGTACAACCGCCCCTGAAGAAGCTTTAATGAGCAAATGCAAAATATTCAACAAGCCAACGAAGGTTTACAGAAGAATACAACGCTAACAACCAAAGCTAAACAGAAACATGCTAAAACTCGTAAATATCAATTATATTGAGATTATGTTCATCTCATGATGCATGGTGGGTATCAACATGGCTGAATTTAGCTCTTTAACCTCCACTAAATACCGTGGTAGTGTAGCGCTTTAGCATTAGCTTTCCAATAAGTACTTTGTTAATGTAGAAGTTTAGCTTTAGTTTCTGCAAAATACCATGTTGGTGTCGTGTTTTAACGCAAGTCGAACTAATAATTATGTTTTAGGAACCTGGGCTGTCTTCGTGTAGCAGCGCTCCACCGCATGTTTTAGGTCTCTGGATTGAGGAATTAGAACGTATTTCCCTGCT